ATTCGCGGGGGGCGCCTATGAACTTCGTGATGTTGAGGGGCGGCTACTACCGCGACCATGGAACATGTCACATTTGAAGAAATATTATGCGTAGCTAGAGACATGTTATCTTCATTTGCTTTCAGTTGTTATTTGGTTATGTTTTAACAAGACAAGTAATATAGGTGCATTTGAAGTTTTTTAAGCTTAACTCTTTTTTTGTGTGATGTGTCTAAGGGTGATGACCTGGTAGTCTTGTCTAAGCTCGCGGAGCTAGGCGACGACCTCTTTAGGGCGAAAGCCTCGTAGGTCGCCTAAGCTCGCGGAGCTAGGCGACGACCTTTTTAGGGCGAAAGCCTGGTAGTCTCGCCTAAGCTCGCGGAGCTAGGCGATGACCTCTTTAGGGCAAAAGCCTGGTAGTCTCGCCTAAGCTCGTGGAGCTAGGCGACGATCTCTTTAGGGTGAAAACCTGGTAGTCTCGCCTAAGCTCGTGGAGCTAGGCGACGACCTCTTTAGTGCGAAAGCCTGGTAGTCTCGCCTAAGCTCGCAGAGCTAGGCAACAACCTCTTTAGAACGAAAGCCTGGTAGTCTCGCCTAAGCTCGTGGAGCTAGGCGACGACCTCTTTAGGGCGCAAGCCTGGTAGTCTCGCCTAAGCTCGCGGAACTAGGCGACGACCTCTTTAGGGCGCGAGCCCGTTAGTCTCGTCTAAGCTCATGGAGTTAGGTGACAACTTCTAGAGGGAGAAAGCCTGTTAATCCCACCTAAGCTCGTGGAGCTAGGCGACGACCTCTATGGTTGACGAGGTCATCGCGTGAAATTGGGAATGTGAGTCTTGAAAGACTTAGCAATAGGTAAACTAGGTGCAAAAGCCTATGGTCACAATGTTAAGTGTTTTCAAGACTTGGTGAATGAAACTTACCATGAACGGAGAGGCGTGGTTTCTTGTATAGCAATAAGTTATATAAGTACGAATAATTGAAATGTGCAAGTGACACAATGAAAGCAAAATATTGAACGAGTTCACGTTCACATGCCCAAAATGAGTTTGTGGTTGCATGCCAAAATACCAAAGAGATAACCAAAAGAAAGGTTCGATACATCCGGTCTGATAGAGAAACAAAGAGTACTAAACAGAAATCACAAGTAAATCTAGGAAGCCTGTTGTCCTCCGGTTCGAGGACCCTCTCCACATCTAGCCGGACGTCGGCCGCAATGGCTCTCGCGGCGGTATCCAGGGCCGGCTCCCACCAAGGATGGGTCGACGGGAGAGACGGGTCACCGTTCTATCCTGCGGGGGTAGGGAGGCCGACCATCATCT